AGGCCCCCCCCCCTCCCCCACCCCTCTGACAGCTACAACCGCTATGCCCAACGCCTGCTTGAAAACATTTTTTGTGTTTTGCATTTTTTGTTTTGCTCGTTTTGTTCGTTGCGTTTTTCGACGCCGCTCGCTGCCGGCAGCGCTGCACGCGGCGACGCTGCGACGCTGACGCCGCGTCGCTCTCAATACGCGCGCTCAGCTCAATGCAAGAGGCCAATTGCAGTCGAGAGAGAGCGAGTGCAGAGTGTCTGTTGGGGCGAGCGAGCGCGCGCTCCTTTGGCAACATGTTGCGCGCAACATTTTTGCATTTATTTTAATTAGATGCGTGTGGGGCACGTGGACAGCGGCAGCGGGGCGGCGGCTAGGGTAACCAAAAAGTTGTTTTCATAAATGCAGCAGGATATGAAACAAATGTATGAAGAGCACAAGAGCGAGAGAGCGACAGAGCGACAGAGAGACAGAGAGAGAGAGAGAGAGAGAGAGCGGACGAGCGAGAGTGTGAGTGAGCCTGGCAATGTTAATGAACTGACGCCATGAAGCTGTTCAGATGCTTTGACTAGCGGCCAGGCGGCTGTTTGAGCGGGCGAGGGGTCGGTTGTGCGGGAGGAATGGGGGGGGGGGGGGGCTAGTGTTAGATTGTACGGGCATTTGGCAAGGATTCCGCTGTGGATTTGCCAAGAAATGATATTTTTATAGTCGCCCGTTGTGGTGCAAAAGCGAAAGCAGCCAAGCACCGAGGCGTGTGGGCACCAGAGAAATTAGGGGAAAAACAACTTTGCCGCACACACACACACACCCACACACACACACACACACACGCGCGCGCGCGCACGCAGAGAGATATTTGTCTCAAGGCTGCAGCTGCACCAAAATGCGGCACAAACAACTGAAATGGGACAAAGTAATAGCGCACGACAATAATAACAGACAATAATAAATATGCACACCCCCCCCCCCCCTAAGGACCACCCCTCCCCCTCGCCCATGCCCATGCCCTTGCACCCAATTGAGTTAACTCTGTGAACTAAACGAAAGAAGTTCAAATTGTTACGGTAATTTAAGTTACCTACTTATAATCTTATTTTAATTGACAAACAGCAGCGAAAATCAGCAGGATCTGTGAAGATGGACAACTTAAGCTCTATCACATAAAAAACATCTATTTTATAGCATTAATTTGGGTTATGTAAGAATATGTAAGGTTATGTTACGCTATGTTGAAATATGTTAGGTTATGTTAGGTTATGTAATATGTTGGGTTATGTAATAATTTGTCAGGTTATGTTCGAATTTGTAAGGTTATGTTAGAAAATGTTAGCATATGTAAGGTTCAATCATAATATTTGCTAGAATATGTGAGGTTATGTAGGAATATGTAAGGTTATGTTATGTATATGTAATGTTGTGTTAGAATTGGTTAGATAATGTTAGAATTTGTTAGATTATGTTACAGCTTGTGAGGTTATACTAGAATATGTAGATTGTGGTCAGGTGAGAGCTCATTTTAATGACAGACAGGTGAATAGAAATTGTTCATTTCATGACGATTATTAACTTTGACACTCAGTCACAAATTAGAGGCTACGAGAGAGAAGATGCCTATTTTAAGCAGAACAAAAGTTGCTTACATGGCCCCCAAAGAGAACAAGTGTAAGGAATAGAGTAAACTAAGTAAGGATTTTCATACATGAGAGGAAATATTGAATTGAATTCAAGCATTTGAATTTGAATTTAATCGCTAAGCTGGGAATTCGCCCAGAGAAATTTGCCCTGATAGTGAGTTTAATGCCGCCTTAAAGTTAATATAAAGCGTATATTTTCGAAGGTAAGAGAAACATAGGCTTTGCTTTTAATTAAAATGAATAGGAAAACTAATGTAAACAATTGAACTGAACTGACTTGCACACATAACCTCAAAATGGTATCAGAGCGCGTACCTAACCCAAAAATCTACTTGTAATGCGACCAAAATGTAATTTTACACTTTGCACAGTTTTGCAACCACTTAACCTCAACCTCAGACCAACTGCAGCAACAGCAACAACAGCAACCCACCCTCATAGATAAGCGGCCGAAGAAAAAAGAAGGGAAGGAAAGCAAAAAATGCAATGTAAACTGCGCCATATTGAAAACTGTCAGCCATTAAAATTTATAGAAATGTGCGAACACTGTAACGCCGGCAGCGACGCTGGCAGCGGCTCAATGTGCGCCTAAAATGCGTGCAGCAGCAGAGCCAGCGACAGCGACAGCGACAATAAAAGCAAAAGCCACAACAGCAACAACAGCAAAAACAGCAACAACAAGAATAACAGTGCAATCAGCTGGGCTCTTTGGGGAGCCGTAGTAAAAAGTAGTAAAAGCAGCTGCATACGAAAAAACAACAAGAACAGCAGCAACAACAACAACAACAACAACAACCAAAACAACAACAACAACAACAAGTACAACAAACACAAAGCAACTCAAGAGCAAATAAAGGTCGCCCAACAGCTGCGTAGCAGCGCCGCGTGCAGTTGCAGCAAGCAGAGACAGCAACTGAGCGCACAGTCAAATGTAATGCGCGCGTGCTCTCTTTCGCTCTCATGCACTCACTCACACACAAAACTGTGAATATGCGGGGTGTGTGTGTGTGTGCGCGCCAATGTGTGACTGTGTGTGAGAGTCGTTCGCTGAGTGGGCTGGGTTTTTGTGCTGGCTAACTAGTCGCCGTCGCCCAGCCTAAAAGCAGATTCCATGTGTGCCTGTGTGTGTGTATGTGTGTGAGAGAGAGTGCATGCGTGTGTGTATACAACTGCACATGGCTGCTGTGTTGTTGTTGCTGTTGCTGTTGCTGTTGTTGCTTTAGTGGCGAGGCTCGTTTTTGTATGTGCGGCTGCTTGTGCGTCCATTGGGCATTGCACATGTGTATACGCCTGTGCCTGTGTGTGTGCGTGTGAGCTTTTGCTGTGTGTGCGTGCGTGTCAGGCAAAGCCAAACCCCTCCTCTACTGCCCAATGGCCTGTGCGGGGGGCGTTAAAACGCATAAATGTTGATTACACACAATTTCACATTTTTCTTTTTCAACAAATAAAAAAATAAAAAAACAAAAATGGAAATAAAACGTTGTTGTTGCTATTGGCTTGGGGGCGGCGCGGGGGCGTGTGTTGACTGCGCGCCTATGTATGGTCAGCAGATGCAGCTGTTGTTGTTGTTGTTGCTGTTGTTATTGTTGTTGTTGTTGTTGTTGTTGTTGTTGTATTGGTTCAATTGCAAATGACCAAACAGAGGGGCGCAGTGTAAATATGTATTGCATATGTGAGTCGCTGCGTGTGTGTGTGTGTGTGTGTTAGTAGTGTGCATGCATGTACATATACATACATACGTATGTATGTATATGTGTCTAATTGTTGCTGCTGCTGCTGCTGCTGTGCGGCATTTGAACAGCACGAGTTGATTGCGTCGACAGAGACGTTCGCGTCAATGGCTCGAATATCAAGAAACGACCGAAAAGTTTTATGTTTTTACTTGTGTTGTTGTTTTTAAAAAAAAAAAAAACATGTAAGGGATACAAATGTAAAGGATAATGGAAATGTATGTGCATGCACGACATGCGGTGTGAGGTTACGTTTAGTTGGAATAACTGAAAACTGAAAACTCTAACTGGAATACATGTTTCTCTGTTTAGAGCACACACACACACACACACACACTAATAAATAAATATTCAAGAAAATGCGGCACAAATGTCGTATGAAAAATAACAGTATTGAAAGCTCTCATTAAGCTATGGAAAGATCATTCAAGTGAGGTTAAGTTTAGTTGGACTAGCTGAGAGACATTTAATTCTAATTAGTAAATAAATATGTATGAAAATTAAAATAAACAAAATAGCAGAAATAAAATCAAGACAGCTTTCACGCCGAGATCTGCAGAAATTCTGCAGATTGAGGTTAAGTTTAGCTGGAATAACTGACAGCTCCAATTGGCATATATATGTTTCTCTTTATATAAGTGAGCTGATATTTAAAATAGATAAATAAAATAGTAAATAGATATGTTGGAAAATTGGAAAAAAATAATAGATTAGAATCAGAAAATAAAATCGATTTTATGCGTCTTAAATAACGTTTCGTAAGCCAGAACTTAAAAGATATAAATACTTTTCTGAATTAAGAAAAAAAATTAACTACTCTTAGACCATATAATATTATATATATTACTCTCGATAATTAATTGAAATAGTAATATATTCTTCAATTTGTTGCAAAATATATCCGTAATTTCTACACTTGAGAAAAAATAATTTGGATTTTAAAATATTTTTATTCGAGTAATGAGTGTTCTATATATATGATATTTATTTTGTGTTCAGGCAATTTCTTGCATATTCTTCTTCTTTCTTGGGCTAAATTTGGATCCTAGATTAGTCTTATATTTTTCTTGGAGTAAAGTCTTAGTTAAAAAACTCTTCCAATTAATAACTAATATTTTGCATTATTACCTATGTGCTTAAATCGCTATTTTAAGAGCCCTTTTCTTTTATATAAAAACACATTACAGCAATTAATTAAATTAAATTATAAAAAGATATAAGAAATATAAAGTACTGATCGGAAATCGGCGTATGCCAATTCAATATGAGGGATTTGCTTCCAATTGGCATTTGAATGCTGCACAACGAAAGCTGCACGCTGCAAAATTCGTGTGAAAGACATGTCACAAAGCTGCTTGCTACGACGAAAGCACACATTTGGTTGCCATGAGCGGCAGTGTTGCCAGCACATTCCCTTCATTTATATGTTATTAAAAACGTATTAAACAGCTAACTGCTGGCAAATATTATATTTTATAATAAAAATTACCAATTGAGCGGGCAAAAATAAAAGTTTTTTTCCAACTCTTATAGCATGGCCGCAATCGAACGCAGCATTTTTAACGCTCGCCCAGCGCAGCATCTGGCAACCCTGCGGCGCTGACATAGCGGCTTACACGCACACAACACATGCAAACGCGAGCCGCACACGTATGCACAAACACAAACAAAACGAGCGTAGAACAGTTTTTTCGACGTTCACAATTTCGTGCGGAGCTGGGGAGCTGCTGGAGCTGTAAAAATAAAAGCCAGCGAAATTCTGTGAAGAAATTTGTTATTGCAAAATACTCAACTAGTGCGTACTGTATTTGGTTATTTGTGTGCAGCTGAGCAAACGTGAGCAATTTAACTGCACGACTGTGCTTTCATTTTTTTTTTCGGTGGCTGTCTTACAATTTTTTTTTTGTTTCAATTTTATGTTGCGTTCCTTCGTTCAGTGCAAGTGCAAGAACAACCGCAACAGCAGCAGCAACAGCAACAACAACAACAATTGCAGCAGCAACGCAAAAAGCATTAACTAAAATACATTTCTGCATACGTTTTGACCACGCACTTGTCTTATCTTTGTGCCTGCGCCCGTATGTGTGTGTGTTTGTGTGTGTGTGTGCGTGAATAGGTAAGTTGCGTTTTAATAAATTCACAATTGCCGAAAAAAAAGAAGCAGAAAACGGCGTACGCCTTTTTTTTTTTTGGCTTTCTTTGTCTATCTTTCTTGCGTTTCGCTGAGTTTGTGTGTGTGTGCGATAATTTGGCAGCTTATTTCAATTTTTGCTCTTTAATTTAATTTCTGTTGCTTAACTTTTGTTGGCTTCATATTGTTATTGATTTTTCAGACAACGTGCGTGACAAATGTTGCCGCTAAGCTCCTCTGCCCGGCCGCTATGCCCAACCTTTATACTTTTTTCTCTTCTCACAAGCGTCATGTGTGTGTGTGTGTGTGTGTAGCGGCTTTTGGCGTGTGTGCGTGTGTTTGTGCGAGCGTGTGTCGCCAAGAAATCAATAAATTTTAAAATAAAAATAAATATATACAATGGAAAACAAAGCACTCACATGCCAGCACAAAATTATACATTCCTTTTGTCGTTGTCGTTGTTTTTGTTGTTGTTGTTATTGTTGTTGTTGCTTTCTTTCGTTTTCGTTTTCGTGCCATTCATGCTGATAATTAGCAGTTGTAGCGGTTGTTCTTGCTGTTGCTGTTGCTTTTGGCAGCCTTCTGGAATGTTCTTAAATATTTCAGCTTTTTGTGCGCTGCATTTAAGCGCCACGCGTTGCACACAATGCTGCGTGCGGTACGCGGCGCGGCGCATTTGAATTATGCTCTTGTTCTTTTTATGCCCTGTGCATGTGCGTTATTGCCGTGGCAGGTCTTTAAATTAGCACACACATCTTGGCAGTCGCATGGAGTTATGTAGCAGTTAGAGTCTTACACGCTTCAGGCTATACGTGCATTCCGAAAGCTTTTGAGCATTTAGAATACTAAAAGGCAAATAAATAGAATGTAATTAAATTTGACTCCTGCCTGAGGATGTGTTTTAGTACAATGTGAATTGGCTTAAAGTCACCGATCTTGTGTTGAACAAGGAACGAGCCTTGCCCTAACAATGCAAGAGTTTCAAGAGTGTTCTTCTCTTTTCTACAGTTACGAGTTCATGGATCTAAACTTCCATTCCTATAGCTCCTACTTAACACATAGTTGCAAATACTCTTAACGCACTGAGAGGTTGGGCAGATTGCAATTGCAAGACTTTGACTTGGTTTTTAGCCAGACGTTGCTCTCAGAAGATATTACAGTTTTATCACAAATAAGACATCTGTAAGTATAAACATATATGTACTTGATGACTCGTGCCCAGGTATTTTACTTTATGGCCATAGTAGAAGGAAGACCACAATATATATATGAATATATACAAAGTAGAGGGAAAGTTGAAGCAGAGATGACGTACTTATAATCACAGCATTAAAAACATTGTATTTCCTTTTCATAAAATGAGAATCGCGTAGAAGAGCAGTATGTCAAACTGTATTTATTTTTATAGTGGAAAGTAAATTTTGGCTGCGCTTAGTATTAGTGAATATAAATAAAGATGAACATAAATATTTATATACCTATTTACATAAATAAATATAGTGTACATAGATTGATGCATACATACATGCGTACATACATGCATACATACATACAAATACACGCATATATAGCGTAGCATAAATACATATATCCATACATATGTAAATTCACACATACATACATACACGCACAAAACATTCATACACTTATACATACATATACCTATACTTACATAAATACTGTGCGCATACATATACATAAACATGCACATATATTATGTAAATACATACATACACATGTGCACTGATACATACATACATACAAAGTGGACAAACACAGCAAAAAAGGGGAATCAATTTTTGTCAGCATTTCGCAAGCGAACACGCATAGCGAACATTACCCGGCATTGCCCGGGCCAAGTTGTTATCGTATCACATTTTCACCCATTTTGGGGCAGTGGAAATATTTCCGAATGGATTTTCGTCATCAGCAAATGAAATGATAGTCACATGACTAAGAAAGGGATTCAAGGGATTTTCGGCCGTGGGATGGAATTATTAAAATTTGTCAAAAAAGTCTTCAATCAAGTCTTACAATCTTTAAAAAATTTCACCGCAAACGCGACTTTACGAAGTTCTCAAAACCTCATCTTTTCGAAAATCCATGTGTAAATCTATGTAACAACTATTTTCTACCGTAAGGTGAAACGGCTAGATTTCAATTTGTCACGGACGGGAAACAGGTCGAAAAATATGTCTATAATAATAAAAAACAAAAAGAAACAGAAAAGCCTTAATCCCACTAAACGTAGGGCATCTGCTAGTCGACCAAGCACACTTTGCTAAGACTTGTTGCTGCCGCCAAATGCAAATTTACGAATAGTTGTTTAATTGTTGCCTTAGACTTGTGGATTCCCCCCCACACACACACACACACACGCACACACACACATGTTGCTTGTATCTGGATCTGTGGCATCGCATTTGTATCTTGCAGCTGCTGCAATAAAATGCAGCAGCAGCGCAAACTTTTTGCCGTTTGGTGAAAGCGAAAGTCGAAGAAGGTGGCAGCGAGTGCAGAGACGTGCACCTGCCACACCCATATACACACGCACACCACACACACGACCTTGAAATACACTCTAGAACAACAACAACAACAACAACAAAAGCAGCAGCAGCAGCCGCAGTAACTTTGTGAGTCTCAATTTTCACGCTTTTATGCTCTTTTGCCATTTTCAGAGCACAACAACAACAACAACAAGAAGAAGAAGAAGCAGAAGAAGCTGAAGAAGAGAGCAACAGCAGCAACAGGATGTCCGGTCTGCCACGCCGTATTATTAAGGAGACGCAGCGCCTGATGCTGGAACCGGTGCCGGGCATCAATGCGATACCCGATGAGAATAACGCACGCTATTTCCATGTGATTGTCACCGGTCCGAATGATTCGCCCTTCGAGGGCGGCATCTTTAAGCTGGAGCTCTTTCTGCCCGAGGACTATCCAATGTCGGCGCCCAAGGTGCGTTTCATCACAAAGATCTATCATCCGAACATCGATCGCTTGGGCCGCATCTGTCTGGACGTTTTGAAAGACAAGTGGAGTCCGGCCCTCCAAATACGCACCATTCTTTTGTCCATTCAGGCCCTGCTCAGCGCCCCAAATCCCGATGATCCGCTGGCCAACGATGTGGCCGAATTGTGGAAGGTCAATGAGGCGGAGGCCATACGCAATGCCCGCGAATGGACTCAAAAGTATGCAGTCGAAGACTGAAGCGCAGTGCATGGTGAGGAAGGGAGGGGGGGGGGGGGGGGGGAGTTGGGCAACTGTCCAAGCGGGGGCAAGTGGGTGGGGAGGGGACGCGGCTGCTAAATGTGCGGATGCGATTGGGCGGGTTGGGTGGCTCTAGGTGCTTGTGGGGCGTTTAGGGCCGGGCAGGGGGTGGGACAAAAGGGTTGGGGCAAATAATTGCAAACAAAATACAAACGAAATGCAAGCGAAACAAAAACAAACACTTATAATATATAAATCGCAGATCTTTATATAAATATATGTTTGCTGTGCGGTTCGCTTGATGTGCAGAGGAAGCCGCTCTGATTATGCTGCAGTTGATTATGATATAATAATAAACTATGTTATAAGGCAAACAACATGCTCCACAAATAAAAAAAAAAAAAACAATAATAAAAATAAATCAACAATAGATCAAAGAAAACCTCATATGGAACTCCGTAAATTTTGTATACAATAATAGAAAACCTAGGCATAAGGAGTTCTCCAAAACGCCCTCTCTAAATATCCAGGGAAACTTCAAACACACACACACACACACACACACACACACACAAATAGTTCTGCAAGAAGAGAACAATATACTACATTAAAAATAAAAAAAAAAAAAACAATATATATATACATATATATATATAACTATTGACATTTGATATTAACGTTGTTCGTACATATGTGAGTAATAGTGCCGTTTATAGAGTATAAACATTTGCTTTAAGGGAACCAAACCAATTGGCGAATCGAGTTGTTCGCAATGTCAAAGTTGCATTTTGTGTCGTCTTGCATTTCTTTTATTTGTCATGCGAAGTTTCCTTTTGATATTTCGATTAGTCTGCAGCCAAGATTGGGCTCCGGTTCCTCAGCTTTTTATCAATGTGTACGAGACATCAATAATAAGAAACGAGCCTTTTATGGAATTAGTACTTTACACACGTAAATAATAAATGAATAAAAATAACTAAAAAAAAAACACAATTAAATTGTTGGCTTTATTTTTAAGTTAAGTGGTAACGGATCTTTAAATTCAAAGCTTAAAGCAAGTGTCTGCCTTTTGAGCTTGAGGCGTCTTCAAATGGGGTCCACGTCCAGCTGGACAGAGGCGGCATTTCGAACAAACTTGGAAAACTATTAAATCAAATTTTTTCCTTTAAATATTAAAGCTTGAAACGATGAGTACATATTTTATAACCAAAAGTAGCAACTGGAAGGGCTCTGATAAATTCGGAAAGTATTTCTTTCAGATTGGAAATCAAGCACAGAAAATGTTTCACATTGGGAAATTAAAAGAGAAAAAAAATGCAATCTTAAATTCGAAAAAATAATTATTATTGAAAATGACAATAATTAGTAGGAATTCAATAAAAAAATATTTAAAGAAACTAAGCGGAAAATTTAAAACTGAAAAAACAAAATTTTCAAAATGCCAAGAAAATGTAATCCCGAAATCTTTAAATGGAAAATTTTGAAAAAATCAAAAACTAATGTAGACTAAAAATTATAAAAAGACAAAAACTTAGCTTCAGTCGAAATAAAAAAAATTTCAAAAATTCGGAAAACTAATTTTTCAGATTGGAATTAAAAAAATAAATTCGAAATACAAATTTTTCAGTTTCACTTTTTAAAAAGAACAAAAATATAAAATCAAAACAGGAAAATCTCTGATAAATTCGGAAAACAAGATTTTCAGATTAGAAATTTAATAAGAAAGCATTTTATTCACAAAAACTTTAAAGTTCGGAAAAATTCGGAACATTAAAAGAACAAACCCCAATAACAGTAAAGGAATAACCTTTGAAAAATTAAATATAAAATTATTAATAGGTTTTTTTTTTATCTAACTAAAGTTAATCTACATAAGTGGACAGTTGTTCAAATATGGAAGTTGTCTGGGAAAAATGTAAAATTTATTCTCTAATTAGAAGTTTATCATCAACCTGAACTTCATTTGAGTTCATCCGCATTTGTTGTTGTTGTTGTTTTTTTTTTTGTTTTGTATTATAGTTGCCCAGAATTACAGAAACAGAAAGCAGCTCAGTTGAAGCCAGTTCGGCTGGACTGTCTGCCCTGCTGGTCCTTTGAGTGCAGTTGTCAATCATGCCGTTGCGTGGGTGGGTCGGGCTCTCAAGGCCTGGCCACAGGGGATGGGGTGGGTGAGTGTTGCGGCCGATGCGGGTGCGAGTGCATGCGAGGCCTTAACCCTTTTTATAGGGTGGCCAAATTGTTGGCCACACCCCGAGCCGTTAGCATATGCCTGCTGATTGGATGCGCGTCTCTGTGTCCTATGCGTCCTTCTTGTTGTTGTTCCTGTTGCTGTTGTTGTTGTTGCTGCTGTTTCGCTCCTCGAGGCTGTTGCACACCAGGCTCTGGCTTTGGTTTCGCCTTTACCTCTGACCAGGCCGGGGCAGTCAAATGTCGAACCTAACGATTTTTTTGCTGCTCTGTTTTTGGCCTCACTCTGGTTCTTCCGACCAGCTTGCTGTCTCTCTCACTCGCTCTGCCTCTCTCTCTCCCTCCTTCTCTCTCTTTATCTCTCTCTCTCTCTCTCTCTCTCTCTTACGCTTCCGACTGTCTGTGTGATGTATATTTCTTCTGCTGTTTTTTTATTTTATTTTTTTTTTTTTGTGTCCAGTTCCATATAGCTTTTTATCGCATTACACACGCTCACACCCCCGCCCCCGAATTGTTCAACGCATATGCAGAGTGACCAGCTCTCTGCAATTGAGGGGGGGGCGAGATGGTGGCGATAGAGGTGGCGGCGGCGTTTGGTTGAGTGCTTGAGGTGAGGATTTTTATCGGCAGCAGCTTCATTGTGCTGTGCGCTGTGCGCTGTGTTTGCATAGACAAAGGCGAGGCCGAAGCCGAGGCCGAGAGACCGCAACCAGGGCGAGGGAGGACACGGCCATAGTCGGTTGGCCGGTGGGTGGAGGGGGAGGGGGGGGGGTGGTCTAGGCGCCAGACTCGGGCTTGGCCAACTGGCCGGCTATTAATCGTTTTCAAGTTGAAAGTACACAGTGCACAGAGCTCCTGCGACCGACTCCATGTGTGTGGCACCTGCTGCGGGCTAGTGGTCGACCCACCCAAATGCCGCCTACGTGTGAGTGCCTGCGTGCCTCTGTGTGTGTGTGTGTGTGTGTGTGTGTGGCATTTGGCAGCGCCCGTTGTTGGTCTCTATGCCTTGTTACCTGCAGCAGTTGCGCAGCCAGCAGATAAGGCATTGTCCCAGCTCCGAAAGCCGGAAACATTAGGCCTGCTTCGATCTACTGCCATCGCTTCCACTGCCACTGCCACTGCCACTGGTACTGCCACTGCCATAGCTGATTTATGTGACAATTTTGCGTTGCGCTCATAATTCGTGGCGCGCTTTATCTGCAGATCTTCAAGCTGCTCGTTCTGCTCCTATCTTATCTAACTTATTTTGTCTTATCTGCAAAAAAAAGTAAAGAAAATTGGTTGCTTATCGAAACGTCATTACTTTTATGCGCGCAGTGTTGGTAAGTGGCATAAAGATCGCTTGAAAAAAGCTCAACGATTTGATTTATTTTAGCAGAGTGTGTTAGCAGCCCCAAGCAGCGCCTAAATTAGCTGATCTTATAGTTTTAATACATATGATAGTTTACTGATTGTAGCATATTGCAATAGCTGCCCCAAGTTGAGCTTTATCTTTTAGCTTAAATATTTATATTCATTAAAGCTCAGCATTACAATTAAATCAACATATATCGTGTTAACCCTGACTCAGTCAGTGTTGGTAAAGGACGTCTGAAGCAATCTTTAACATTTGATGATTAATATTAATAGCATTCTTTAAAGGTTTGCAAACACCATTCGAGTGTATTAATTAAGCAGCCTGCCAGTGTTGGAAAACTGAATTAAAATAGATGATTTGATTTTCTTAAGCATGCGACTATAAAAATTATCGTTAAAACAAAATCTAAGCGAAACGATTTACGTATTAATGGTGGACAGGGATATCCGTACATAAATTTAAAGCGAAGCAGCATTTATTGATATTTATATTTAGATCTAAGAATGTGTAGAATAAGACTTAAGATATACTCAAAACATTTATTCACATTCATCAAGCTGTTTGGAATGACTGACTGATCGATTAATGATCAATGCACAGATACCGAAAAAGTTCACCATGGTTACCCTATGTGGTGTATGTATATGCAGTGTACAGTGTTGGAAAGCAAGTGTGGAACATTTATGAAAATCGGTCATATATTAATTATATTAATAACAACCCAATAAGATTCAACTTATTTGCCAGGAGCCTTGTAACAATGAATTCACCTGTTTCAAACTTTCGCACACAGCTACTCCCCTCCCCCTTTCACAAGACCCTTGTAGAAAACGGGGTCAAGGGAGATTTAGCTTTTTCCGGTTAATTTCCAACTCCATTTTTAATATTTATGTCTAGTGCAGGCAAGGACTTATTTATGATATTAACATTTCGGCCCAAACAAACCCGAACAAAGCCGGGTAATATGCGCCAGAATACTTGGATAAAAGCACAAACAAACTAAAGTGTATAAACGGGTCATTTGTGGGGCAACCCAACAAATATTTCTAACTATTTATCTACCTATCCAACTAACTATCCACACATTTATCTAACTACCCAACTATCTACAATGTTAACTGTTTAAATTATCTACAAGCACAACAAATGCTCCGTGTTGTATGTGCGAATGATCCAGAGGAAAGCCAAATAAACAATGCATGAAATGTATGTATACACAGAATGTATATGCATAGATGTGCACTATATCTATATCTATATATCTATATATATGCATCTATATATATATATATATTTGTATATAAATAAATAGACAGTTTGCAGCAACTGTTTTTTGTGCCGTTCTGGTCAGAAACAAATGCCCAAAACGCTTTCACGTTCATCTCGGCCAAGAGCTGACAGTAGTTCCGTGTGTGTGTGTGTGTGTGTGTGTGTGTGAGCGAGGGGAAGGGGACTGCTGACTGCTTGGAGTGCTTGTTTGGGG